CTACAACTGCTGCGCAAACAACTGTTGCTCCGACTACTACTGTCATTTCAACCACAACTGCTGGTCAAACAACTGTTGCTCCGACTACTACTGTCATTTCAACTACAACTGCTGGTCAAACAACTATTACTCCAACTACTACTGTCGTTCCAACTACAACTGCTGCCAAAACAACTGCCGCTCTGACTACTAGTGTCATTCCAACCACCACTGCTGCTCAGACTACTGTCGCTCCAACCACAATCGCTATTCAAACCACCGTCACACCAACCACCACTGTCTCGTTAATCACGAGTTACATCGATACCACTTATATTTCAAGTACAAGCGCCACACAAACCACTGAAACTTCATCGATAAGCTCCATAGAAACCACATATGTACCAATCACGAGTATCATTCAAACAGCTGTTACTGAAAACACAACACAAGTTCGAAACGGTATATTGATCAGAATAGTTTTCCTGAAATGTTAAAGAATTAATATATTTAGATGAATCTACTTCAAAAGAACAACATTCAACATCAATTATAAGCACAGTATCAACAATAACTTCAGATGCACGTATTATTAATCAAAGTATTTATATTTATCAACATAAAAGATTGTTTATCTATCATATTTTATTCTAGCCTGTTATTCATCTATGATTACACTTATTCCTAGCCAATCATCTTTAGCATCTCCATTAGAATATCGACGAAGTCAAGATTTTTTTATTAGTTCAATGATTCAATTAAATTGTACTGGATCACTTTCAACAATAATAAAATGAACAATAAAGAATTGTACTTCTACTTGTTCATATGAAATTGAACCAAATACTAAAATCAAAACAACATATAGTGATATTTATGTTCCATCAAGAACTTTAGATTATGGGACTTATGAACTAATATTAACTGTAACAATGGTGAAATCACCTCATCCAAAATCGTCCTCTTCAGCTTATGTGAGAATAACTGCATCCGGTATAACAGCAAATCTGGTCCAATTAGGAACATCGATGATAACACGTGGCAGTCAACAAGATCTCCTTTTTGATCCTGGAACATATTCCGTTGATCCTGATGAAGATTCATTTGATGCCAGTGTGAGTCTTAATTATTCCTAGTTCAAAAGTATGCTTGTAAAGAGTGACACGTGGCCTATCTACAGACCGTATTTTACTATAAATAAGACTGTATTTAATGAGAATACGGTATATCGAAGATATCCGTTATGGATATTTCTTCGACGTACATAATCTTTGGTAACACAAGTATCACGAAAAATATGGAAAGTTGGAATTTGAGTCCATTGGATTGGATGAGGACGCGAGCGGCTTGAGATTGAACAATTTTATATCTGGTAGGCTCTATTTAAGAATAGAAGCTAATTGTAACTTGATTATGATAAAATTACCATCAAACTTGTCTAAGACTTATTTCGAATGTGTTAGTCACTGTTACAAATATGCGAAAAAAAGAATCTTATATTTTCGAAACAATTTGCTGTTTTAGATAGAAAAAAGTTCATTGATAGCTTTTGTGATTACTGTTCTGGACTAGGATCGGAATTACCTCGAAGAGTTTTCTACTTGACAGGATCTATTTGTAATCATTGTCCATGTACATTATCGAAATTTATCCTATGCCGCTTCTGTTACTATCGTAGTGATAATAGTGAATTCGATATTGTTTGTTAAATATAATTATGGTGGTCGCAGATTTTCAACCGCTATGACTAACTGTGATGCGTTAGTGAACCTTTTTTTATCATTTTCTTTTTGTCATTAGGGATGGAAATATTCATATTACTGTCGAATATATGGTTTGTATAATTTTCCTAACATTCAAGGTGTTTTATTAACAATTGACAATTCAAAAAATGATCCTTTCAATCCATCATGTTTATCAAATCGATCAGGTAGATTTTGATTATTTACAAATTTATTTTTATAAGTTTTTATTTAAAAAACAACAGATAATGAAACTGGATTGATATTTGGAAATTTAACTTTATCACCCAACTCATCTTTAACGGTTCTTTCTGGTTCACTTCAACCAGATCAAATCTATCAATTTATGGTTTTGATGGAAAATAAGAAAAATTCGTCTATTCAAGCGACAGGATATGTACTTGTTACTGTTGTAAATACGGCTCCAAAATTGATTGCTATTGGGTAAACAATTTTTTAATGAAATATTCAACAAATAAAATCTTTGATTTAGTTGTGTTGTATCAGTATTATGTGTTCCAAATCTTGAATTTCAACTTCTTAATCCAACAACACAAGTGGCTCTATTTTCTGTCTGTATTGGAGATTGTACAAATCTTCAAAATATAAAATGGAATATTTATCAAGGCCCACAAAATTTATCTGCTAATTCTACGCAACGGACGTTATTCAATCAAACGATTTTATACGAAAATCTTTGGTTTTTCGGTAAAAATCTTTGTTTTGTGGAACACAATCTAAAAGGAGTGTATACGAGTTGAAATTTGAATTCATTTTTTGTCTAGAGACGTGACAGATATACTAGCAATGATCCATCATACATAAGACAGACATCGTATAGCAACATCTCTTTTTCCTCATTAGAGATTGTTATAGACATAACTAAGGTACTCTATCATAGATATTTTAGGAACATCCTCATTCCGCAGATCGATGCAAACTTGGCCATGAAAGCAACATTTTAGACTAGATTATTATAAGAGATGATTAAACTTAAAATACTTCTTTTTGATTCTCTTCCGAAAGTCATTGTTATTATTTATCACGATTAACACCTTCCATGGTAAACATATTTTGACAATACATTGAATTTGACAAATCAGAACATATATTAGAGAATCTTCTCATTTATAATATATCCAGATCCATCGTGCTTCACATTTTAATCCCGCAAGAATTGTGCCAACAGTTTTCTTTTTTTGGTGATAAAATATATTTATTTTAATTATTTTAGGTATAAACACAACTAATTTTACAGCAATAAATAATTTATTTCTTGATAATCCTCAAATAAATCTTTGGCGTTTTGAAGTTGTTTATACATTTCTATCTGAAACAAGTACAAGTGCATTGAATTTTATTATTAATCAATCTCCTTATAATGGTACATGTTCAATTAACCCTATGAATGGTACAACAACAACATTGTTCACAGTTTTATGCCCAGATTGGTTTGATGAAGATGGAATAAAGGATTATTCATTATATGGTATATTTAGTTTACGTTACAATAAAAAATACTAAATAGATTGTTTGATAATTTTAGCCTGGACAACAGATATATCAAAACGAGTAATGATTGCATTTTCACCCGTATCTAATTTTCAAGTTCGATTACCACCTGGAAATAATTCGACATCATTACTTAATGTTGTCATTTATGTTCGAGATGTTCTTAATTGTATTACAGAAGTAAATATGTCTTCTCTTAGTGTTATAGCAGATTCTGTGGGAATTAATGACTTAATTAATGATTTACAAAGTTCATCTGATACAATAACAAATAATCATATTGTTCAATTACTTTCAAGTGGAAACCAAAATGTTGTTGGACAAATTCTTACTTCACTTTCTCAACAATTCGATCAAATGAATTATGAAAAATTAGCTAAAGCTATTTCAAGTAACAATTATACTTCAGTTTATCATAAATAATTAAGATAATCTTTTTCAGGCGGAGTACCAACTGCAAGTATTTTAATATCACCATTGGGAAGTCAGAGCTTGCAACAAGTAATTGAATTCGATCGATTTTATTTTATTTTATTTTATTTCTTTTTAAAATAGAGTTTAGTACCATTGAATGAATCAGATTTAACTGAATTTATTAAAAAATTAAATACTCAAGCAAATATTCGAGATTATCTAATGACATTTACAACTAATCTTCCTATAACAACAATTAGTAGTATTAAATTACAATCATCATCATTAGTCCAATTAACTCAATCAACAAATCAATTAACACGAACAGCTTTGGTAATATCAAAAAAGAACTTCTTTGCATTACAAATTTTCTTTTTCTTTTTAAATAACTCTAGACAATCGCATCAAATAGATGTTACCAATTGTCTCTTGCTTTATATTCAATGGCAGGACAATTTCCATATGAAGATATTCAAATAGCAGCAAATCAACTAACTCAATGTGCTACCAATGTTTTGACCGTAAAATATCTTCTTCTCAAAATAATTGATTGATGATCAAATTTGTTTTCTTCTACATAAAACTCGTACATAATATGTTAGAGAGTCATCTTCGCTACCACTAGTCCTGCATTATTCTGTCATATGACAGATCCATTGAAATAATAAATGACTATCATATGTATATTACATCCATTTCTCCATGATAAGCAACTCTTTTTCTCTGGCAATCTCTAGGCGAAACATTATATTGTTTAATAATGTTTTTCCAACGCTAGAAATTTGTATAAAAACTCTAGCTATTTAGCTGGTTTCTAAGGATAATATTTATAAGACACAGTTTTTTTGCAAACTTTAATCACAAAAATCATGATGTGTTTGAAAGCTAATAGAATATTCTAACACAACATGAAAAAACTTAGGACGTACTCGTATATTTTTAGGAAAGACTTGATTTTCGTGGAAAAACTCATCCTTGATCCTAGAAGATTTAGTGAACAAATCAATTCCATCATCAGATTGATTTTGTTGCTTTGTCATTGACCAATTTCAGTTCCATTGTTACATGAGAGCGTTACAACTTGATTTCTACTGGAGAAATTTATTTTATCTGAATCTCGATGGGAACTGGAAATGGACTATTCTAGAACATCAAATTACAGAATATGAAAAAAAACTATTCGAATGCAAGATTCATCTCCATTCTTACTGAAAAATAATCTGGGACCAGGGATATACAAATCTCATGAAATTTTCAGCTCTATATTGTGATCTTTGAAGGAGACATGCACCAAACAAGGTTCAAAGATAGCTCATTTTGTAATTCAAAATTCTCTGTAGATCTACATTGTATTTATTTAGTTATTTTTTTGTTTAAAAGAGTATCTCTTGATGTCAATCGAAGAAAACACTGGGAAGATCAAGAATTGAAGAAACTCTTTAAAAAATCGGGCAAATCTAGTATTTTCTCAGAGTTTTTTAAAAGTATTTCTTGCATTTTTGAACTTGTCATCGTCAGTAAGAATGGAAATGAATCTAACGTCTAAATACTTTTTTAAGACCATGTAGTTCTCAACAAAGTTGTCATTTTTCTGATCAGAAGTTGCAAAAAAATAGCCAAAAAGTTCAAAAACCATATCTCGAGAATATTACTATTGAGAATTGGTTAAGAGGACAGTGTTTTTATACCATTGTGTCTCCGTAAAAAGATAGCATTAAACTATATAAAAACTATTCTGGAGATTGTCATACAGAAAGTACTGTCTAGTATCGATAATCAGATAGAAGATATATATATATGATAATTATTGGCTATTTTAATGAGTCTGTCATAACACAAAAAAATGTTATAGGACTAATTCTACGATAGGTTCTATGCTCTGATTTTTATGAGATCTATGAACTGGCCTTATTACTGATCGTATACAACGAAATAGAGAAAAGGATGATTCCTTGCAGAACATGAACCACGGACATTCCAATATGTGGATAGATGTTTTGCGTAGAAGAAATGAAATTTGTTGAGAAAGGCCTATAATTTTGAATAATGAATATTAGGGTGTAAATGGACCATTACAAGGACGCACAATGGTACTTGATTTGGATCTCTCTCGTGCGAATCCATCATCTACGTATTATGATACTGATCTTGATTCTGAATTGTCAAACATAAGTAAGATTTCAAGTATAAATCCATGTTTAATTTCAATTTTGTAAAGATTTATTTGGATCTGGTGATGATGCTTCAATTGAAGCAAATCGAAATAGTTATTATCAAAAACAATTAGCAAATGAAATAATTAATCAAGCAAATGAAATGATTTCATTAATAACATCTTCATTAAATATTTATTTAAATATTGGTCAAAATCAAATAATAAATACATCTCAAACATTTATGTCATTAGAAACAATTTCAACCGAATCACTTTCAAATAAAATTGTTAAACAAATTGGAAATGCTCAATTTCATATTCCATCGGGCTTTACTCTAAATACAACAAATAATTCTTCAATTTCACTTCGAGTAAGATTTTTGAATTATTTTAATAATTTCTTTAATAATAATTTATTATTATTTAGTCAAAAATGGATACTCTTGCTCCATTTGGAAATTTTTCCAATACAAATCTTTCAAATACAGTTGCACTTTCAATTCTGGATCGAAATGGAAATGAAGTTTCTTTGAAAACCGATCATAGTAATCCAATACGAATAATTATTCCTCGAGATCCAAATCTTCTAATTCCTGAAATGTATTTACAAAATGTAACATCAATTAATTCAACTAATCAAAATCTATTATTTAATTTACATTATATTAATATAACAAGTTCTCTTTCAATTTCACTTCATTTTGAAATTCAACCTTTGAACATAATTCTTGGATATTTATTTATTTATAAATTTGATCAAACACCACAATTAAATAGTTCAATTAATTCTATCGATGGATGGACACTTTTTTGTCCTTCAAGTTTGTTTTATTTTACTTTGGAATTCATATTAATTATCCATTATTTTATTACAGATTTGACTAATGAAAATATTTATAAATATTTTATTGATAATCAACAGACATCTGGTCATCAATCATTTATATTTGGAATAAGAGAATTAAACTCAACAGAAATTTATAATCATTGTTCAAATTATAGTTCAACAAATACACTGCCAATTACAGATCAACCATTTAACTTTACATCAAATTATCAATTGAGAATTTACACGTCAGGCTGTTATTATCTCGATCAATATAACAATTGGCAATCAGATGGATTAATTGTATGTTTTGTTTTTCTTTATTAGACGTGTCCTAAACTTATTTTAAATGAAGAAAGGAGAGGAAAAGCAACGTTTACGGAGATGTTAACAATTATTTAGGAAATTGACTTCTAACAATTTAATAAATTATAAAATAAAAAAAAACGAAATTTCTCAATATTAATTGAATGATTTCATCTGCTCTAGACATTATTCACAAGAAAGTATTATGCGTTTCAAAATAAAAGGCAGGTTGTCATTTTTTAAATAAAACTTTCGTTGAGCGCAAGATATGGATCTGAGCCTTTCACCATTTGAAAGAGCGATGTCTGGGCCATCGATTGGTATAGAATTCATTAAGACGAAAGATTACTTTTCATAGGTATTTTTGGGTGACCACTTTTTTCTGCTATTATTTTC